ATTTCACAAAGCTGAAGTCTGTAAAATGAGTATTACGTGTTTTGTAGACTGAAAATGTAAATAAAATGATTAAAAGAGATTACAAAGCGAAGCAAGCGCGGATCAGATAGGCACACATCTGCACTCTCCTAAAGTAGGAAGCAACCTGGGTGGCACGGCGGCTGAGTGGATAGCACTCTTGCTTCTCAGCAAGAAGGACCTGGGTTCAAATACCGGTCGGAACAGGGCCTTTCTGATAGGAGTTTGTATGTTCTCCCCGTGTCTGCGTAGGTTTCCTCCGGGTGCTCCGGTTTCCCCTACAACTAAAAACATGTACAATAGGTCTGGCATGCGACCCCGCTCCCATCTTTCTGTGGAGTGAGAGGACAATTGCCCAAAAAATACCCATTGTAAACCGGCTTTCCCAAATGGGGAGTAGCCCAGGACAAACAACTGGTCGGCTTTCCTTAAACCAGCTGTCCTGTCAACATACACCCGCAGTGTGCGCACTGGGCACAAAGAGTGCAGTAGCCGTTCCTCTTCAGAGGAGAAAGGCGGAGAATGGAAGGCATTAAGCTCCAAGGTAGGGCAGCTAGATCCAGAATCCACCTTCGGCACAAAAGCCGGGTTAGGGCGCAAGCGCACCTTCGACAACCCCGGTGCAAACTGCAGACATGAGGGGCTGACAGAAAAAGCCTGCAGTTCACTCACGCGCTTTGCAGACGTCAGAGCAAGAAGCAGAACTGTTTTATAAGCAACATACATCAAGGCCACGGCCCCTAACGGCTCAAAAGGGTGATGACAAAGGGCATCAAGCACGACCGACAACTCCCACAAGGGAACCAGGGACTTAACCACTGGAAGTTTACGTCGTGCACCCCTCATGAAGCGACAAACTAGAGGGTGCTGTCCCACAGTTCTGTCACCAATACCCACGTGGCACGCCGATATGGCAGCCAAATAGACCTTTATAGTAGAAAAAGCCTTACGCTCTTATAACAAATGTTGCAAAAATGTATTTATTTATTTATTAGTTTATTTGAATAGGGACGATACACATTAATCAACATTGCTGTAAATGTGTCAGTATTAGCTAACAGCTAGTTTCCAACTGAAGTCCCTAGGCAAGATGTAAAATGCCATCTATCACACTGTATAGTATCTATAACAGGCGCCGGAAGACCCGTGGCGTTCAAGTTCCACCTTTCACGGGCCAGGCCCAGAGTGCCACGCGGTATTGGTGAGGATGAAATATGCATGGGTTGTCCCATAAAAGTTGTATTATCTCCGCCATCCATGGCTTGGACAACCAAGCCGGTAACAAAACAATAATAGCTTAGTTGTAAGACTGTAAGGACTTACCCAGCGTCGGTGAACCAAAGCACCAGCAACGAAATCCTTTACGGCTCGTCTGTGAACTGTTAAGCAGAGGCTAGCCTAAGATATGGTTTCCACGTGGGAAGAAAGCGAGAATAATTCCAAAAGGAGGAGGTTGACTGTACCAGGGTAGGTGGGCGGTGCTAGGTACTGTCAACCTGTCGTTTAAAAGACAGACATGGTGCCATTGGAGCTTCCAAGGATGGTCACGCCGAAGGCGATTCCCACAGTGAAACACCGAACGACGTTAGAAAAACAACCACGGAGAGACCTGTGACAAAATGGGACATATCTGTAGCAACAGCAGCCTATGTAGCAGTGGTTGCAGAGGAGGACGGCTATCCGATGAGTCGCTTGTCATATGCCTAAACATTTATTTTGACCAAAAATAAAACCTTTTTGTATTTACCAAATGTCTCCATCCTTGTTCATAAATTTACCAAGGTTATACGGATTTACTGACAAATATAATGTATGCAGTAAAAGTACATAAGTATATGTAGGAAATTGTAACCTTTGAACCCCTTTTCTGCACGTGTACAGACAAATGAATTGTATCAAAGTCTTAATACAATCACAAATTTATTAAAAACAAAAGCAAAGTGCAAAAAACAACAATTTACAAAGTCCAAAGTACATTTCAAACAAATAAATATACACACAACAACTTAAGTACAAGCACAAAACAGAATGGCGACACGTACGGCGCGGATGGAACCACAGTCGAGGTAGTACCCCGCTCCCATCTCTGTGTGGAGTGAGAGGACAAGTGCCCAAAAATAACAATTGTAAACCGCTTTGTGACTCTGGTCTGTGAAAGGCGGTATATAGATAAAGATTACTTACTTACTACAAAAAAAATATGCAATTTCACGATTTTAATATTTTTTCTCAAAATCGATTTATTCAAAAGCCCTACGTACTGCTACTGTGGAAAAGCAGCATAATGCTCGGGTTTAACACTAGGAGCGCCCCTAGCGGTCAACTGACCGTCACTCACTTTATTATGCTAATTAGTGTATTCAAAACAAAACGCCAGAAGTTGAAATTTTATGACTTTTACTAGGTACTTGTTGTTTATATTTTGGTGTGTTTTGGTTTTGGAAAAAGTAAAGAAAACAAGATTTACACGTATTTTAACTTTTCTAAACCACAGCCCTTTCTGCTGCCCCATGGAGATACATGGCGCAGGGGCGACTGTTGTCATAGTAACCTTTCCCGGGGGTTTTTCGCGCCTTATAAAAATGTATCAATATGTTGTCATTAGACTCTAAAGGGACTTGAGTTTTTTGATTATTATTTGGGAGAGAGAGAGGAGTACAAAATGAATAGAGCTGCAAGTACACGGTATGAAGCCCTGACAGTGCTTCAAGACATTGAATGAGAACAGTCTGACGGAGGTGACATGTCACATTTTGAGGTAGAAAGTGACAGCGGGGAGAACACCTATAATATTCTAAATCTGAACGTAAACCCATAGTGCATTCACGGCACGGGCAGCAGTGTTGTAACAAGTCCAGAAGCAATAACGCACATGACCCGCGTAATGCCAGCCATACGCAGGTGTCTGTGTGCGCGCTGTCGCTCCATTCTGCCTTTTCATTCATCATCAATTACATTATTATATTTATACATACAAGAAGGCAATAAAGCAGAATACAATATCGCAATAAAATAGAACAATTAGATGAACTATCAAGGCAGAGTGCAGATCAGAGTGCTCGTCACCCGCGGACACTGCAGAGAGGGACTGTGGGGCAGAGGCGGCCCTCATATATCAATAAGGATATAATTCTTATTTCATCCAGATAACACTGTGTGTTATTCTGCACAGCGCGCACTGCAAGGCAATGATTATAATTTTGTTCTGAGCATAAAGAGCACTGCTTGTCTCAAATAAATACAAATATACATATACATATATTTGTCTTTCTAACGTGTCCCGTGTAAAATTGAAGATTTTACATTGACGATGGTAGCCTAGCTGATGATCTTGTGTCAATACGAATACTATTATTATTATCTAGATAATATTTCCCACGGTGATTTCGGCTGGAAAGAGCAAACAGTCTGGAGATGACGTAAGAAGTAGACGCATATAGCAGCGCGAAGACGTTATGGTCCCGTGCTTTTCTAAACTATAATTTATATTGTTTGAATTTACATATTGTTACTGAGTCAAATATAACATATAGTGACCGACCTTTTAGGTGTTTGCAAAGTTACAAAATAAATCTAGCCTGAAAAGTCATCGTAATTTTGATGGATCAGTACACGCACAATGTGTCGTCTTAGTCTTTTATTTCGGCTAGAATTACAATTACTTAGCATATTTAGACAAATAATTTACACAGTTTCATTATGATCACGATTCCTTTGCAACATCAAGTTCTGGTTTAGTGAACAATCAATTTGGCAAAAGGCTGTATCAGCGCAAAATACATAGCGGTCAACTGACCGCAGGGGGCGGTGCAAGGTATGTTTAGAGCGCGGCGGTCCTAGTGTTAAGGCATAAGGCAGGGGTTTAGGCCAAAGGCAGGGGTTTAAGGCCCGGGGCGAGGGTTAAGGCCTAAGGCAGGGGTTTAAGGCCCGGGGCAAGGGTTAAGGCCTGAGGCAGGGGTTTAAGGCCCGGGGCGAGGGTTAAGGCGCGGTGCAGGGGTTAAGGCCTAAGGCAGGGGTTTAAGACCCGGGGCGAGGGTTAAGGCCTAAGGCAGGGGTGCCCAAAAATAACAATTGTAAATCGCTTTGTGACTCTGGTCTGTGAAAGGCGGTATATAAATAAAGATTACTTACTTACTACGAAAAAAAGATGCAATTTCACAATTTTAATATTTTTCTCAAATTCGATTTATTCAAAAGCCCTACGTACTGCTACTGTGGAAAAGCGGCATAATGCTCGGGTTTAAGGCATAAGGCAGGGGTTTAAGGCCCGGGGCGAGGGTTAATGCCTAAGGCAGGGGTTTAAGGCCCGGGGCAAGGGTTAAGGCCTGAGGCAGGGGTTTAAGGCCCGGGGTGAGGGTTAAGGCCTAAGGCAGGGGTTAAGGCCTAAGGCGGCACGGTGGCTGAGTGGGTAGCACTCTCGCCTCTCAGCAAGAAGGTCCTGGGTTCGAATCCCGGTCGGACCAGGGCCTTTCTGAGTGGAGTTTGCATGTTCTCCCTGTGTCTGCGTAGGTTTCCTCCGGGTGCTCCGGTTTCCCCTACCACTAAAAATATGTCCAATAGTTCTAGCATGCGCCTCCTGTACTGGCGACCACGCTCCCATCTCTGTGTGGAGTGAGAGACAAATGCCCAAAAATTAACAATTGTAAACCGCTTTGAGACTCAGATCTGCAGTGAAAAGGCGGTATATAAATAAATAAAGATTACTACTACTTACTAAGGCAGGGGTTAAGGCCTAAGGCAGGGGTTTAAGGCCCGGGGCGAGGGTTAAGGCCTAAGGCAGGGGTTAAGGCCCGGGGCGAGGGTTAAGGCCTAAGGCAGGGGTTTAAGGCCCGGGACGAGGGTTAAGGCCCGGGGCAGGGGTTAAGGCCTAAGGCAGGGGTTAAGGCCTAAGGCAGGGGTTTAAGGCCCAAGGCGAGGGTTAAGGCCCAGGGCAGGGGTTAAGGCCCAGGGCAGGGGTTAAGGCCCAGGGCAGGGGTTAAGGCCTAAGGCAGGGGTTTAACGGCAACACTGACAGAATGTGTGAGAGAGGCTGCCGAGCAGTCGCCTCCATGGAGCCACTTTAGGAGGAGGCGGGGGGTTTTGTGTTGCTCAGACCGTTCTGCCTCTCTTAGTCCATGTAGCTCCCCCTTGAGGTTTAATGTGAGTTGCTGCTCTTGTTGCAGCTGAACCCGGGGGTCACCGCACTCAACTCTTTGCTTCTCCACCTTTTTATTGTGCAGAAGGAATTGGCTCCGGAACAAGTTCTCGCGCTCGGTCATGTCTCTCTTAAGGAGGCGAATGTACTCTTCCTTTTTTTTTAGTCTGGCATCGATTTGCTGACACTCGTCCCTCAGTCTTGCTTCATTCTGCTCATACTTGTCCTTCAGTCTGGCTTCATTCTGCTCATACTTGTCCTTCAGTCTGGCTTCATTCTGCTCATACTGGTCCTTCAGTCTGGCCTCGTTCTGCTGACACTGATCCTGTTGGTCCTTCAGATGTAGATGGAGCTGGTTGACGGCTTGTTTGAGTGAAGTCACATTGTTTTGGAGTTGCGTTTGTGAGTTTTCTTTCTCACACAGTTGCTGACACATTTCCCGGAAGCGCTGATCCACACGCACCTCGCGGTCTCTGCTCTCCTGAAGAAAGCCCTCCTTTGAAATTAGCTCCTGTTGCAGGGCTTGGACTCTCTTCTCTAGGCCCTGGAGATCTTTGAACCTGACCTTCCTCTCCAGCTGCTCTAGAACAGTGTCTCCCAAAGTGGGGTCCGCGGCCCCCTGGTGGGCCGCGAGGGTACTGCAGGGGGGCCGCGGGAGGTCATAAAAAAAATAATATAATTATTTAATGTTAAATTTATAATGTTTTGTTTGTAATATTAAAATATTTGTGTTCATTATTTGACTTGAATAATCCACTGTAATCATTTTTGTATTACAATGTTTGTAGCAGAGGCTATTTCCCCAAAATAAAATAACCAGAAGAGCCTATTCTTAATGTTGTCTTCTTGGTTATTATTTTGGGGGGGCCACGCAGACCCATCAGATTTTTAAGGGGGCCTCGGTGTTACTGAGTTTGGGAATGGCTGCTCTAGAAGCTCCACATTCTTAAGTCTCTCCTCAGTGAGTCCATGGAACAGCGCCTGTATGGTCTGCTCTTGAGTCGATAACTTCTCCTCAAGCTGTTGAATCTTTCGCTCACTGACTTCAACAGATTCCTGGCACTTGAGGTTGAGTTCTTCCTCCCGCTGCAAATAGAGCTGAACCAGTTCTTCTGTAATAGTTTTCTGGTCTCTGAGTTGTTGGTGCAGTTGGTTGACGGCTTGTTTGAGTAAAGTCACATCGTCTTGGAGTTGAGTTTGTGGGGGTTCCTTCTCACTCAGTTGCCGACACATTTGCCTGATGCGCTGATCCACGCGCACCTCGCGGTCTCTGCTCTCCTGAAGAAAGCTTTCCTTTGCTATTTGCTCCTGCGGCAGGGCAACAGATTCCTGGCACTTGAGGTTGAGTTCATCCTCCCGGTGCAAATAGAGCTGAACCAGTTCCTCTGTGATAGTTTTCTGGTCTCTGAGTTGTTGGTGCAGCTGATGAGACCTCCTTCTCTCCTCCCTCAGACTTTGCTGCAGCTTTTGGTTGGTGCTGCAGTGAAGCGGTCCAAATGGCTGGACCATCTTCAGGCAGAGGCCTTGTCTGTGGGACCTGCAGTTGGTCCTCATGTGCATTTCTGAATATGCACTAAACTATGTGCTCAAATTAGCACAGTAGAGAATTCTATATAACACTTTATGGACTACCTCCTTAAAAATGCTCTGAGAATACCTTCTTCAATATGCTCTGAAATACTTTTTCAGACCTGACAACTGTCTAATGAGAACACCCCTAAACACTGTCTGACAAAGAGTTCCGTGTGATGACATAATAAGGCCAAAACGTCATGACGACACAAAACCATGGTTACGATGGAATGTTGTGACCAGAGATTAGGGACCAGCGTTGTCATGACAATAGCAATGAGTTGTACTAATTCAAATATGTAATTCATAGTGGACGGTGTTAGTGTTGGGTTCAAAATGTTTTACAAAACGTTTCTAGAGTTTTTGTCAGGTTGTACATATTTGAAATGTATACATACCCTCAATTTGTCCTACAGGGATCAAGTATCTCTCTTTCTAAAGTTAAAACATTTACAATTTATATTGTGTTTAAGTACTGTCATTAAAATCCCTGCAGAATGCACTTCATTGTGATGAATCTTAAATTTAAGTTTGATTCATTTGATTGTATATACATTGACAGATTTGATGCAACAGTAAATTATATGTTCAATTAAAACTAACTTGAAAGGGGATGCATACAGCTACTACAGCCAATGATACAATTAGTACAATTTAGGAACTTTAGAAGAGTTATAGAGTAGTAGTGGTAGAGGCTGGATGGGCCGTCTTCAGTCTTTTATTGGTCTGTCCAAGCGCAGCTATAGAAGTAGCACACCTTGTAGGAAAGAAAAAAGGGCTAATACGTTTTATGACAAGTGCTGAGCAACCTTGAATTTCCCACTTCACTCTGCAAAGAAGTATACAAGAGCCTCTAAGTTGTATGCACACCTAAAAATAACTGTTTTCAACCTGGATTTTTAACTTTGTAAGCCTGTTAGGGACACAGTTCCAGATTTTTCCTGCATGCATCTGAAATTCTTCCTACCCAGCTTTAGTTCTGACTGTGTGCACCGGCTGGAGTCCGAGTTGGTTCTTATGGGACTAACAAGTCACAGATGTACTTTGGTGCTCGGCCATGGAGAGAGTTCTAAACAAGCAGAGTTGCTTCTAAGTATTTTCTCTGAGACCCAGGAAGCCAGTGCAGAGACCATGGATCTATTATAATAACTGGATAGGGTATTACTAGCTTGGAGCTGAAGAACTAATGTGCTCTGGGGATTCTCACAGTGCTGCAGACTAAATTCACGTGGGCTACCCAGAAATTTTTCCCATAGAACTCAATGTAAACTAAAACAGCTCGACCTCAGCTGACAGAGAACCTACAGCTTTCATAAAGGTTGGATTTTGTGGGGATTTTAGTGTCCCTTGTAATCCTGAACTTTTTTTCTTCTGAAATCTTTCTTTAAATTCACACTTAAGTGCCACAAACTCTGCCCATCTGGCTCCCGCGCAAACTCCAGCTCTGATTGGTCAAAGAGCAGCCGAGCCCCTCTGTGCACGTGCATGAGAGCCACACACGTTTATTTGGTGCAACGTATCATGGGAGATAATCCACTGCGCAGAACCGGGAGGACCTGACGATGCCCAAATCCAGGCGAGTTCCCATGGATCTTTGCGAGTTTCCCATGGATTTTTGCGAGTTCCAGGCGCAGTTCTGCTAATCTTTCGGTGCCCATGCCGGCACAATGCGCCACGGAGCACAAACCATTCGTTTGAATACGGTGCCATCTTGGATCGCCAGGGCTTGACAGAGACCTGAGGACTGGACTAATGCCATCGTACTTCCTGGTTCTAGTCAAGACTCGTTGCAGCAATTTGAACAGTGCAGACTGCTACTGCAGCTTGTTTTGAAGAGTTAAACTAAACATGTATTACTTGTCATATATATATATATATATATATATATATATATTTTAAAGGCCACACATATTTAAACATGTACTGTATGTGGCCAAATGCAATGTCTGGTAAAAAAGGACACAAACATTCATCCTTAGTGATCAAAGGAGGAAACACAAACATTTAACAATGAAAGCATTTTATGATTGTATTCTGTTGTTACTTGTGTTGTTAAGAGAAGCAGAATAAGTTAGAAATGACAGACATTAAGTCTGAGCTTTCCTTTTTTGGATTTTTAAAGTGAAGCCTTTATATCAACAAAAATATATTGCGCTTTGGTCCATTGTGTTGTTCAAATCTATGACACCTTCTGGATCATTGATATGTTTTCTGCTTTGATGATTCACACTAAACGTTTGCAAACAGCGTTTTTGTTATTTTTCTATTCAAGCCTCAATGTCTGTGAAATGTTTACCAAAGCATGTGTGTGTCACATCTAATCCAACAAATGTCAGTAAATACCAAAGGTGTTATTTATTAGGTGGGTGAACAATCTTATTTGTAGAATATAAATAACTCAAGCATGCATGACTCACACAATATGCAACTTTAAGTATGTAAATGATCAAAGAAACCCATTACAGCACATTAAAACCTCTTTAAAGTTGATATTGGAAAAGAGTTAGGTTGCTAAGGATCAAAGATGCTACAATTCGCATTATTGGTGCGTTTATGCAAAATAACTTCAGACAACACTGCAACTATTGTCTTCGGTCCCCAGAAACAAAGAGAGAGCGCCATCTCTCACATCAGAAATCTAGGTGTCACGTGGGTGAAAAACAAAATGAGGCCCAAAATGCAAAACTGCAAAAAAATTATGGTTTAATCAAAAGATAAAACAAATCCAAAACCACAGAGAACGAGGACATAACTAAAACAGACTACGAATGACAATGATGGAACAGGGAGTGAAGGAACACACAGGGCTAAATACAAGACTAACGAGACACAGGTGATACACATGAGGGCAGGGCTGGTAAAGCCTGGTTCACACGGCAGGATATTTAGGCCGATTTAGGCCCTGTCCACACGAAGTCAAGCTCAGGCCTAAACGCAAAAATACTTTATCAATCCAGTGTATCGTCCATACGAGGCCGGCGTTTTGGGGGGGTGTAAACGAACATTTTTGAAACTAGGTCCCAGAGTGGAAAGATTTCAAAACTCCGTATATGCCGCTCCGTGGTTACTGCCTCTCCGCAATGTATCTGAGACGCTTGCGTCATCGCCCCGCCTCTTGTTAAAGCACGCATGCGCCGCACTCAGAAAATAATGACAACAACAATGTAGCTTGTTGGTTTTGTAATCCAGTGTGACCCGAAGCAACAGTTCAACCTCATCGTCCGTCCATACTAATGTAGTACCAGCTCGCCCACTCGCCATGTTGTCTGTTTACAAAATTCCGCGCATGCCCACGGAAGTTTGGGCTTGATCCCGTCATTGCGTCACAGCGCCACCAACAGGTCTGGCATAGTTTCACAGCGTTTTCAGGCGTATTGACTACATTCATATGGACGCACACATTTACTGAGCTAACTCCGTGTTTACAGAAAAAGTTTCTGAAATTATAAGCGTTTTGTCTTCGTGTGGATATAGCCTAAGACCCGATTTACCCCTTACGACAATCTAAAGCCTGGTTCACACGGCAGGATATTTAGGCCGATTTAGACCCAATTTACCCCTTACGACAATCTTAAGAAACGCTCCGATTTCCGTAACAAAATCTTACAGATCATCCTGCCGTGTGTGGTGTGTTAAGACTGCACTCGTCGCTCGGAAGGACATCAGGACTGCTCCCGATCTCAAATCGGGGATATCCAACATGTTGGATTGTTTTGGCCCGATTTCTCTTCGTGTGTGGTGTCCCCCGAGGACAGACGTGCGCGTTGCCATGACTGCGGCGTGTAGCCAATCAGAAGACGAGACGAGGCGGTGAGGAAACGCCTCCATATCACGATGTAGCAAGTATAGTCCATGCTCGTGTTGTCTACACTTCTTTGACCATCGCCTTTTCTTTTGATTACGTCTTTTCTCCGATAAAAACAAACTATCGCCAATGCATCCTCTTCGTCCGCCATGTGTGTTTACTCTGAAGTCACGCTTGATCTCGCGAGACCTGAGATTTCCGTCTGATCTGTGAATACTCGGGGGAATCGGTTCGTGTGTGGTTTGCGTGATTTTTGCCGTGTGGCTGCGCACCACACACTGTACGACCAAAGTGGTTAGACCCGTGATTTTTTATCTCCCTGTGTGGGGTCTCACACAGAGAAAAATCGGCCGACAATTTTAAAATCGTCTCGTGTGAACCAGGCTTTAAGAAACGCTCCGATTTCCGTAACAAAATCTTACAGATTATCCTGCCGTGTGTGGTGTGTTAAGACTGCACTCGTCGCTCGGAAGGACATCGGGACTGCTCCCGATCTCAAATCGGGGATATCCAACATGTTGGATTGTTTTGGCCCGATTTCTCTCCGTGTGTGGTGTCCCCCGAGGACAGACGTGCGCGTTGCCATGACTGCGGCGTGTAGCCAATCAGAAGACGAGACGAGGCGGTGAGGAAACGCCTCCATATCACGATGTAGCAAGTATAGTCCATGCTCGTGTTGTCTACACTTCTTTGACCATCGCCTTTTCTTTTGATTACGTCTTTTCTCCGATAAAAACAAACTATCGCCAATGCATCCTCTTCGTCTGCCATGTGTGTTTACTCTGAAGTCACGCTTGATCTCGCGAGACCTGAGATTTCCGTCCGATCTGTGAATACTCGGGGGGGATCGGTTCGTGTGTGGTTTGCGTGATTTTTGCCGTGTGGCTGCGCACCACACACTGTACGACCAAAGTGATTAGACCCGTGATTTTTTATCTCCCTGTGTGGGGTCTCACACAGAGAAAAATCGGCCGACAATTTTAAAATCGTCTCGTGTGAACCAGGCTTAAGACAGGAAGAGCAACCAAAGCAGACACAGGGATATAACAAACTACAAAATAAAACAGGAAATAAATCTAAACCATGACACTAGGGGTAATACTAGACTCAGACTTAAATATTAACAGCCATATCAGTAACACCAGCAGCTTCTCTGACAATGTTTAAAACCAGGTTAAAGACA